TTTAGATCACTGCAAATCAGTAACTCCACTGAGGATGACAGGATTTAAATCCCATCCCCCCACCCCCACAACCGAGATCAAAATTACGGTTTCAAGTGATTTTTTAAAAAAAATCCATGTTATAAAATTCCACAGAAAATGTTTCACAGCTGCTCAGAATTTAAGGAAAGTTAATACTTCCAGAAGCACTTGAGAAAAATCTCGGTTACCTGATTTTGCACCTAACATACCACTGAAGTTAATGAGATGTAAGCTCTTAAGTCATCTAGTTGCTTTTGAAAATTTTACTTAATGATCAGCTCCAGCTTTTCCAAAGTATTTATTTTCATGTATTTCAAAAACTGTTATGACTCTTTTATTATGATTCAGCATTCCTTTGGTCTACTTGACATAAATATACAATAGTACAAATTTTATGGTAAATCTCCTTTACCTTACTAGAAAGAAAAATCAGTCTTTTGTTGCTTTCATACCAGTAGAAAACATAACAGAGGGTCATAATGTGCTCATGAATAAGGGTGGACAGAGAACTGGAGCAGAGAGACATGGGAAGACATTTAGGGTTTTTGCTAAGTGGAAGCGAAAGTTCTGTGCGTTAGCAGTAAATGGGGAGGCGGCAGGGTAGCACTGAAACGCTGCCTGCTGGAGTCGCAGCCGTGATCTGACTCTTACTGACAGTCAGCAGCAACTGAGGTCTCCAAACGGAAACGGCTGGAAGAAAAACAGGGTAAGAGTTAAGTGAAGGGAGAAGGGTTGGTGGAGAAAACCGGTAGCTGCAAAGTTAAATACAAATTCAAAGTCCTTTAGTGTAATCTCTTGAGATCTCCTGATGACCAAGGCTGTAAAGGATTTGCCCCTGCATGGCAGAAGGGTGTGGGGCAGGATGAGACCAGGGAAAGGCTGACTACAGAGCAAACGGACGAGAGAGTGGGTGGATGAAAGTTCTCAAATGTAAAAAATTGCAATAGTTGGAAGGAGCAGAAAAGGAAAAGATTAAAAGGTTGACAGTTCAGGGGTATCACTTCTGTATGACACTGCAAAGAAATGTTATCTAGGGGTTTTGGTAGCGGTAGTATCTTTTTTTGCAGGGATACAGTGCCGGTATTTTAACAAGGGCTATGTGTAACAGCATTTGATATCTCCAGCTCAGGCACTCTGGGTTTTCCTGAAGAAGTGCAATAGTAGCACGTTCACCTTGCCCTTCAGTCTTGGGGTTTCCGTAGCTGTGGGCACGGGGGCTGCAGCGGTTGTGCTGTCAGCATGGTGAGCGTGAGAAGGCAAATTCCAGTGGCAGCAGAAATTCGTGGCATTCATTTCGGTGGTGGGTCGTGGAACAGGATCACAGTGTAACAAACAGCTATTCCTAGTGTGTTGGATGGATTGTGAAACGGCTCCTTCCGGCACCAGTCCCATATGCCTGCGTGCTTTTCCACCACGACTGGCCCGTTGTGCACATGTCCATCATGATGCTTTGCAGGATGGTGAGATGATTAGGAAGAGATATGCCCCAAGTGAATTGTCCTGTTCCTGTACAGGGTGCGTTGGCTGTGGTGGAGATGCTGCAGAAGTAGCCCCGAGCTGCTTATCCCACTTAATTTCAGGAATTTCATTGCAGTGTTTTGCCTTCAGTCTTGTTTTCAAGGTTGTCAGCACAAAGCAAAAGGGGTTGCCTAATTTGAACTCAAAAAGATGCTCCTTTTATCACTTGCATCCCAGCTTGTCGGTGGCATTAGGGCAAGTTTATGCACTTCTCACTGGATTTCAGATTTGCTGACCTATTTCCAGTTTTACCCCATTTATGAAACCAGTGGTCCAAACTGTTGGCTTTCTCTCTTCATAACCTTCTTTTAGTAACTAAAGGAGTACATATTCATGAGGCAGGGCTGGAGGGCAGATCATAGCTCTATGAAAGTATTGGTGTATTTGTGCACTTTATTGCAAGACCACGTCCAGTATGAGTCTTGGTTCATGGCTGAAAATACCCTCTCTCGATCCAATAGGATATTATGATTTAGGTGAGGGAAATGAAAAGTGGATTTAGCTGGAATACTGCATACCACATTTGAGTGAGCTGTTTACTCTTCAGGGGACTGAAATATTTTATTATTGGGCAACCAAGTGGAAGTAACACTGCAGAAGTTTAGTTGGGTATGAAATACCTACTTTTACACAGCGTTTCTAAACTGTTAGCCAAATGAAAGATAACAATGTTTGTCCCATACTGCTTTTAAAGTGGCCAGTCTTAATCTCTGATTCTTAGCAAACTGGGGGTGTTTTTTTGTCTTCAGTGAATACTAGATGCAAATACATTTTGAAGGCAATTAGGCAGAGTATTTTTACTTTTGCTCACAGTAACTGCAAGCACAAAATTGCTAGCACAAGGTTGAAGGTTATTTACTAAGATTATATGCCACATGTGATTAATCTCTTGCCCACTTTTTTCTTTTATTAGCAAAATTTTAAATTTCCAGGGGATCTATACAGAATTCTAAGGGGTCAAATTACAAGACTGAAAGTACTTATCACTGGTGGCTGCGTGTGCAGAATATACTGCGTTAATTAGGTGCTTCTTGCTGCTCAGCTGCTCTCAGGTAAGCTGCATCTCTCTCCTGGAGTCCCAGCAACATCACCTACCCTGAAATATTGAAGATCAGCACATCCTGGAGAAGTGTATGGCTGCCATAAGGCCATTTTCTCCTGCTGTTCTTCAACAGCGTTGCTCTAAAAAGACAACAAATGACATAAAACTGCCAAATAGGTCTGCAGGGAACAAAAGGCCCGTTATTTCCCCAGTGGAAAGGAACATGTTAAACATTGCTTTACTTCCCGTACGCCCCCCAGCTGCTGTTGCCAATTGCTGATCAAACTGTTGAGTGCTGCTTTGTCCTCCTCTGTGGCCACGTGTCCCTGCCACCTTCCTTTTTGCCAGGTGGAAACAAATCCAGCCACCCCCCCACACGCAGAGCAGAGTTCTCAGTGTGGTCTGTCTCCACCAGCAGGGACTGGTCAATATGAACATCTTCAGAAGGCAAGCGATCTCAAAGTTGTGTGTAATCAAGGATGGGAGGCGGGGACAGGGAAGAGGGAGAGCAGGATCACTGTTTTGGAGGGCAGCCCCTTGCTTGGGTTAGCTTACGGTGACTGATGAACCAACACCTTGGACCCAAAGTGATGCATCCTTCCACAAGTTCAACAGGAGGCTCAGGTAGAGCACCGTGGGTTTTGCATGATCTTCGTTACTATTTATGGTATAGCTGTTCAAGTGCTGCTGGAAGCTGAGGAGATGATGGAGAAAGGGGCTTGCTCTGCACCATCTGACACGTGTTCAATTAATTTTCTAAAGACAATTTTATGATGTCATGCAAGTTGGAAGCCATAATTTTGCTGTCAACCTTGTTCTCACTGTGTCCTTTTCTCTGGAAAAAGTAGAGTGAATCTTCACTGCAAAAAAGATCTCAGTTTTAATTCATCATGCCTGCTATAATAATAGAGGCAGTTTTAAGGTTAGAATAGTGTATAGACAAGATGGTAATTATTGCTCTGAAGCTCTTCTGGAGAAGGCGGCAAGAGGAAATTTTCCATTAACATTAGAAACAAATAGAGGAGAAGGTGACGAATAAATGCTTCCACCATGCTACTTTTCCATGATCAAAAGACACTTGCCTTATCTCAACATTTAATTGTCACATGATTAAAGATGTATGAGATCTTATGAACATACAAAAGATTGTGTATAGCAGCATAAGTACTTGATTTAAATGCATAATTAATAGCTTCACTCAGCTTTACGTTGAAATGCAAGATCAACAAGGCATGTATCCAAGAGACGTACTGAAGTTTTTGCACCAAAGCAGCTTATTAGTGAAACTGTGCTAATAACTTTATCATTTTTAGACAGTTGGCTGAAGGGGAAAAAGAAATTTGAAGCTATTTGTAAATTTTGGGAGGGGTCTTTGATGTATTTGAGAAGCTAGTGAGTTAAAAAACTTCAAACAATCTCAAAACCCAGGCACGTCCATTATTTTAACAATTAACTTTTACTTACCAAGAATGTATTTGGTATGTAAAAACATGTAAAAAGTTGCACACTGACAGCGGTCATAAAGTGTAGAAAATTCTGTGCTTGCTGATTAGGTATCTCTTATAACTGTAACCATGTACTTCACCAGAAGCCCACCCTGCTTGTGACTCGTGTGCAGTCCCTGCGGAGAACTTTCATGGATTCAGAAAAGACAACGTACAAAGCTTCTGTAGGTTCAACTGTAAATTATGCATTTATATTATACCCAGTGCACACATAGAAACACCACTGCTTTCTGAGTTTTTGCATTTTAACATAGTAATTCAGTAAAATACTTAAGAGTACTGGTTAATTTTAAGCCTGTAAAAAATACAGTTCAGTATGGGACCCAAACGTATTACTGTCTTGTTAGTTTTAGCTATCTTAATTTCTGCTTTTGAAGGAACATTAATCCAACTAGCTTTTTTTTTTTTGTAAAGTATATGCCAGGATTCAACTGTTCTATTTCAGTTTGGTAGCACTGAGTTGGGTTTTTTTGTCCTAACTGATCCTCATGACAGCTAAATGTCAGCTTCATTTGTATCTTAGCTCAAAATATAAACAGAAAAGTATACAAAAAGGAAGATGTTTTGTAACACACTCGGTGAATTATTTTTGCTGTGTTCCTTATACCAAACAGTTTTGATTCTGCATGTGACTTACAGTCCAAAAGCCGTACCCATACATTTTTCTGATTAAATTATTTTCAATATTTTGCATCTAGTGCAGAGAAAACACTGCTATTAAAATAAATGCATTAAAAAAAATTGGAACATTGTTGAAACATAATTCCATCGAGAAAAAAAACACAATATTTTTATATAACATTTTGGATATATTTTATGTCAAAACATGATCACCAGTCAAACTAGTGACATCTAAACCCAATACATTATTGTGACTTCTAAAATAAAAAATCAGAACAAAACTAAATCACCATGTGTTGGTGATTTAAACACAACAAAACTCTAGTATTCTTCAAAAGTGTCTACTAAATATAATAAAAAGAATAGGAGAACAATTAACATTTAGTCTGTTACATTAAAAAATTGGATGTACATATTTCTATTGCCTGTTAGCTTTACCTAAGCCTTCTCAACTACTACAAAAATAAAAAAAGAAAACTCAGTGTTCAAAGTCAAAAACATTCAAATCAGTTGATACAACATTACAGTACAGTCAACTAACATCATTCAAGGTCTCCTTTTCTCAGCGTACGAGTCCTCAGACCAGTGTTACAAACCTAGTTCAATGCAGTTTCAAAACTGTGTTAGCTTTGCAAGATACTGTACTCTACTGATGGCTTCAGAAGAATGGGGTTGTGCTACTTTTGAATCACAGGGTAACCCCAGCCTCTCATTAATTTTATTCAGCACTGTAGTTAGAACAGCATTAAGTTTAGCACAATAACTAAAAAAAATGGAAAAAAAAAAAATTGGAAGCTAGGTGAAGCTGCCATTTGTGTCAAACAATTGCGATACGCTATACTAAAAAATTCTGAAATATCCACCTGTCCTCACCGCTCTGCCACAAACTAGCAAAGTCAAAAATACAAAAGTCTTCAACTTCTCATTTTTGCAGAATAAAGCAAAAAAGTCTTTGTGCTCCTTACTACCAGAAGCAAAATATCCTCTGAGTTACCACATGTAATAGCTTCTGGATGTGTCGACTTGGGTTGGCTTGGTCTCTGCAGAACCATCCTTGTCTTTTTCACTGTCACCTTCCCAGAGATTAATAAGTGGAGGGTAGAGCTCATTCAGTGGGATTGAAGAGGTCTTTTGCATATATTTTTTCAATGAGTGGTGGTAGTTTTTTCTCTTAAATCTTTTTGCAATATAAACAGAAATGGAGGCGAGGCTAATGACAGCAAACATGGATCCCATTACTGCTGCGAGGGCAGTGCTGGTTTCTTGGTCTGAAATATCTAGCGCAAAAGCTGCATTTTTTGTTGTAACATTAACACAGGACTTCTGTGTTTGCTGATGGATATTTGACACTGTTAGACACACTTCATAATCTGTAGATGGTTGTAAATGTGTGAGGTTATATTCATGTACATCAACTGGGACCCTAGCAGTGTACGTAATGTGAGGGTTGTCAATCTTCATAGTGGCCGATGACCATTTTAAATTGGAAGTCATCACATTGGAATTAACTTTCCAAGAAACTAAGATTGAATGTGATTCAGCTTGCTTAACGTAGATTTTCAGAACCTGGGTACCATCCAAAAGCGTTCCGTTCACCCGGATAGTAGCAACCCTCGTGTCAGCCCCTTCTATGTTTTGAGCAACACAGGTGTACCTCCCGGAGTCTTCAACCTGGATGTTAGAGATTTCCAAGGTGCCTTCACTACTCAGCTTGTATTTGTCAGAGAGACTTTCGACAGTTACTTTGTTGCCGAGAGGAGTGACCCAGTAAATTTCTGGCTCAGGTTCTGCCATGGCCCGACAATCTAAAAACACTGTCATGCCGATGTCCAGGTTTAAGTGATTTGGAAAGGTCTCATGAGAGATCATTGGAAGACATTGTTCATTTGAATCCTGTATTAACACTTCTTTCACCTGCTGTCCTCTGTATTCTGGAGGCATAGCACAAAACATGGACAGCGGTTCCATGAAACGGATGTTCGTTTTGTTTGAGTTGATCCAGTGAATGACGCAGTCGCACCTGAGCGGGTTACTGTGGATACTGATCTCACGCAGGTTTGGAAGGGATTCCACTGTCTTTTGGTAGACTGCATTCAAGGCATTGTTGTTCAGCATCAAGCTCTCCAGGGCAGGAACATTGCGAAATGCCAAACGATGTATGTAAGACAGCTTTGGATTGTTGGTGGCTTCAAGCTTTGTAAGTTCAGGCAGGTTGTCCAGCGCATACCTATCAACAGAAACGAGCTCTCCCATATTATTGATGCCAAGCTCTTTCAGTCTGAGCATGTTTTTAAAATCACCTTCTTGAATTTTATGAATTGGATTTTTGTTGAGATCCAGGAATTTTAAATTTGGAACTTTCTCAAGTGCAAGCTGAGGAACTTTTACCAATTTGTTGTCATAGAAGGAAAGACTTTCAAGGCTATCCAAGCCTACCAAGGCATTGCCAGGAATGTCTGTGAGATACATACCTGCCAAAACTAGACTCCTTAAATTTGAGAGTGGTTTGAAATTCATATCTAGTATTCCAATCACTGGATTTTCTCCTATCATGAGAATCTCTAAGTTAGGAGTAGAATCAAACCAACGGCTGTCAATAACCTTTAATTTGTTGGAGTTGAGATGTAATCTCAAAAGATTCTTCAGGCCAGAGAATGCATTTGCAGAAATGCTGCTGATCTGGTTGTGATTTATATATAGCTCCTGAAGATTGCAAAGGTCTTGCAAGCAGTAGTCAGTCATCTCCGTTATCTGGTTTTCCTCCAGGTGCAAAGTAGTAAGTTGAGTGAGATTTGAGAGCCCCACATCTCTGATACTTGTGAAGTTATTTTGTGAAAAATCCAATTCTGTTAAATTAAACAGCTGTTGGAGTTCATCTGTGGTCTTTGCAATGTTGTTGCTTTGTAACAGAAGGACTTGAGTGTCACTGGAAAGATTGCTGGGGATTTTTGTTAATCGAAGGTCATTGCAGTCAACTGTTGTGGCTTCCCTGTATGTTGATTGTGGTGTAAACCATGGCCTGATTTCACATACACACAGCTGTGGACATTCATTACTCTGTATGGAAGACTCAGTTAATGAATTCATTAACAATTCTAGCACCAACTGGCAAACAGTTAAAACAACTCTAACCTTCGCCATGCCGGTCAGCTAGTGAGTTCAGCTCCCCAGCCCCTTAAAATAACAGCAGATTGAGAGGGTAATTTGTTATCAGGCAGAAAATGCAAAGCTTAAAGTTTAAAATGAAAGGCTTGGACATCCAGAAGGTGAAAGATGATTTTCTGAGTTTAGAGAAGACAAGAAATGGTCTGAAGACTCTCAGCTGCTCCTCTGTGTTCCAGAATCTTCTGCAAATCAGTGTCTGAAGGTGTTCCTGAAAACAGATTAGAGTATATGTTACGCTCATCTCATACGCAGTTCATGTATTATTTAATTTCTTCATCCTTTAAAGAAAAATATCTGAAAACAATCATTAATATTCATCTCTCTTATGAAAATCCTCATCTGGTATAGTTAAGTTATGTAGGGTTTAGAACTCTCTTCTACTTGGGATTTACATGAGAAGAGTCTCTGATAGCTCCCAAGAGACTGACTGTAACAATGTATGCAATCATCTGAAAATAAAACTTTCAGATACCTTTCAGTTTTGCTGTGCAATATTTGTTTGAATGGCTTCAGAAATGCTAAAGATGGAGGATATGCTTGCGAGTGCAGCTAGGTCTCAAATGAGTGCGCAGAGCATAATCCCGATGGGAGTCAGGGTGCCAGAGCTGTCCCCAAGGCTCGGATTTCAGGTGTGTGGAATTAAGGCTCAGAAAGATGTTGGTTTATAAGTTTCAAGCCAAATGCATACGAACTTTGCCAAAATTAATCCGAGTTAATCAATCAGTTCCAGATAACAGCTTAGATTTAATCCAGCTAAGCACCAAACAATAACAGTAAATTTGATTAAATGAATGTACTGTCCTTATTTTAGCTGTGTGTACTGCATTGTGTATCATATGTGAATTGTTTACCACAATTCCAAACTACTGTGTAAACCACACAATTTATATCTTCTTAGCCTGAAGTTACTCATGCAAGAGTATGTTTAAATTAACCCAACAGTGTCCAACGTACCTCAGAAAATCTGTTGTGTTGTGGGTCTTGAAATACATATTCAAGGAAAATCTAAGCTCTTAGTAAAATCTTTCTCATTCTCACTTTATTGAAAAAGTAAGCTCTGGGAAGTAGTTTGTTATCTGCAAACCTATCTATTATTGCTGCTGCAAAAAGCATGGGTACAGTTTTGAGAGTTTCTGTATGTGTAAAAAATGTGCAATTCGAGGCCTGTGGTGTTAAATACAACAGCTGCCTATCTTCCAGTTCAGAAGTATCTTGCTTCAGTGATGGCGATGCTGCATGACCCGATTTTCTCCAACTAGTGCTTGTGGTGGTGATTTCACATGCCTAGCTGTATTCCTCTTGGCTCCTTGTGCACATCAATATTGGCAGATAAAGTGCACCTTTACAGTATTTCACAGTGAAGGTTAAACAGGTTAGTGCATGTGTTCAACAGGCCTTGAATTAAATACAAAGCATATGCAAGCAAGGCATGTGACAAATCTGAATAAGGATTTGAAGAGCAGACCTCTTGAAATTCGAGGCAACACTGTAAATCTTACGCTCTAATGACTGCAGTTGAGACTTCTCAAACAAAAGTTTTGTCTTTTTATGTAACTAAAATAATCAAATTGTGCTATATCTGAGACAGAGTACATAATGATAAAATGTAATAGCAGAAAGCAGGAAATAGCATCTTTTTCAATTAGAAGGTAGTGAAGCCTCAACCTAGTCAAAGCCCACAAAAGATATTACTATATAAAATAATAAAACTAAATACAGCTTTTAGAAATAGTTTTGAAATAGAATGCCATTTATACAATGCTTTTACTTCAAAATCTGGTCAGCATATTAGATAATGAAATTACAATATTTTGTTTCAGATTATTATATAATGCTATAAGTAGAACACACCAAATAGCATTTTTATTTTGGCATGCTGTTATTTGTTCTGTGGTTGTATTTTGGAGGAAGGGAGACAGCAAAGTTAGCCAGAAAGCATTTGACCCTGTTGAGTTAGATTTTCTCTCTGGTAGCTGAGACTTGAATGAGAGCTGAGAAGACCTTGCTGGAGGGGGAGAAGCCAGATGTAGAACAAACATTCCTTCTCAAACGACTTTCAACTGATGGAAGAATTGAGAAAGACATTTACTGCATTAACAAAAATAAATCCTAATGGCAGTGTAATAGTAAGGAGTATATTAACGTAAAAGTGATGAGGACACTGGCATAAACTGAGTTATTCTGACTTTAATGGATGCTTCTCTCAATAACAATCCATTTGTAGCTGACCCAAACTAGACAGTTCTAGGAATACTGATGACATCTGAAGTTTAATTGATTTAATTCCAGACTTCTCAAATTATAGTATTTGCCAGTTAATAATGCAGGCAGTGATTTCATCTGGTAACAATTTTAGACAGGTAGTGGAGGTGCTTTGAGCTGCCATTGCACGTGGGCTGTTCCCTTGCGCAGGGCGATGTCTCTGGTCCAGCTCTGCAGCCTTGGCTCAGTGAGGCACGAAAGGGAGCAGCACAACCAGGGGCAACAGCCTGCACCAAACCAGACGCCACGACAAGAGGCAATATTGTTCCAAACATTCATGCCTTCAGAGTCTCTCCTGTAATTTTTTTCTAAATAGATGAAGAGAAAGAAGTCCATGCCTTATAAAGCTGTGGACCCTAATGATGTTTTAGTACTGATTTAGCTCTGATGTAGTTATACGAATCATGTAATACTTTAAAAATGAAACTGCCCAAAAAAGACTTCAAAGCTTCTTTTAGAATATGTCGGAGCACATCTAGATTTTGAAAAAAATTCAAATGCGATCCTTCTTTTGTTGAGTATTTATATCCTCTTACTTGCACATTACATTTATTGTTCATCCTTGGTAAGAAGGCATTTCTGGTTTTATTGAATAGAGTTCTGGGTTTATGATCACTGTAGACATATGATTTTACAAGTTACTAGTGACACTTTCTCTTCTCTAGCTATTTTCTACTGCAAATGGATTTAATTTTCTTTAACTGGAAAATGTTCTTTAGAAATGACCTGCACATTACTGTCTCCAATCTCCCCCAGCCCAGGGCAGCTTGGATGAAGCTATAAATGAAAATCCAGTGTAATCAAAAAGTAAATTCTGATCGGCTTCACATGCCCTAGTCCATTTTAGTGCTGTGCTTATGTGAATGGCAGCCCAGAGGCCACAGCATGAGGGAAAAGCCAAGTCATGGACTTTAGCTTTAGCTGCTGCTTATGCTATAAAACCCAATCCATTGCTCTGATAAAAACTAAAGAGGCAGCTGTTATCAGTGGAAAAGCGCACTGCAGTTTTTTGTATACCTAAATAGTAATGGCTGCTTTTGTTCTGCTGTTTGTATCTATATGTGATCTGCTTGACCATCTCTGCTCTCATGTTTGTAAGAAGCAGCTGTCAGCTCTCTGAGCGGTCACTAACAGCCACCCCTTTGCCCCTGGATGTCTCAGCTTCCCAGTCTTCACACTGTTGGCAGGACTGGTCCCAGACACCTCTGTGACATTTAGTGTCCAAAGGAATAAAATAACGCGATGTTTTTCACTGGAAGACTATGTGTCTCGAATGTTAGACTCTTCTCAGGTTCTGAAGTCCTATCTAGAATTATAATCGCATCTTTCCAAATAAAAATTAGACAAGATATGTATGTAGGAAATCTTTCTTTTTTTGGTGGATAAGCTGGAGGACAACCAGGTTTTGAAACAAAATCTGTGACAGTAAGCGGTTCCAAATAGCCACCAATGAATAATCACTAAGCCCACATGGATAAACCCAGGATGGCTTCTGGGAAAGTTCCCAGCTCTCAGTGGAATCAGCGCGAGTGAATTGAGAACTTGAGCGTTAGTGTGTGCCCCTTTCCTGCTAGACATCTCAGCGTTTTGCCCAGCGAGATCCTTTTTGTATTAACTTGTTCTTTTTTTCATATAAAACAAATACAGTATGTCCCTAGTAGCCGAGTGCAGTCCAAGCCAAAGACAAGTCAGGGGATCGGTTCAGAAGATTTTGGCTTTTGAAGGCCAGGGAATGTTTCTCAAAGAAACACCGGTTCCAGGGCAGGGGCAGAGCAGTGGCTCCAGGCTTTTTGGATTAAGGGAGAATATCAGTCCTCAAAACCTCCCTTAGGACAGAGTCAAATCACAAAATCTTTTTTTTTCCTGAAAATGGTATTTAATATGGGTCACGTGATTGATGGCACTTCTTTTAATTTTGTGTTAAAAATTTCTCTTAGAAATACTGAGTGGGAAAATTTCCCCTAAACAGTAAGGGGCTGTTATACCTTTCTTTTGGGAGATACTGAGCTTGTAAAGGATAGCTTTTTGCATTCTCTGCCTTCCCCCTCATTTATTAAATTCCTATTTTCTAGTGTCCTAAACCACCACAACAGCCATAACAGCTGTTAACTTGCTAACAACAGAAATAATGGTTAATTTTATGGGAGAGATAAGCAGGGAAATATACTAGGGGCTAAATAAATGCATTTTCCATAGCATTAAGAAATGACATTTCTGTCAGCAAGCAAACCCATGGCAGCTGTCTGGGATGTTAGCTTGTTCATGTTTCTTGTGGGCAGAAAATGTGAGCATCATTCCTGTGTCTCCCATCCTGGAAATGCAGTGGGGAGAGTTTGCGTAGGGCTTCTGTTTCCAGATAGGTTGCAAAATCTGCTTAATGGTGAGAATTTGTTTGGCCCAAGAAATCATAATGGGGGGAGTATTTGGTTATGGAGAAAAAGATCCTTCATTTCAGCATTCCTGTGAGGTGGAAAGAGCTGTGTGCTGGCAGCCGTAGCCTTGCTGATGACTGTTAGAGTTTGTCTAGTTGTTCAGGTGATCCAAAGAAAAAGTAAGCTTAAGTCCACAGTAAGAGGAGACTATGAAGGGACAATTGTGAAATAAACTGTTCATAAAAAGTGTTTATAGTTTACTTGCTAATTAGAAAAAATAGATGTTAAACATTTTTTCTTGGTAACAGGAAGACAAAGTGTTGTCACTTCCATTAACTGTATTAAAGGTCACTATTAAAAATTGCTGAAGAAAGAAACAACGTAGTTTGCACATGGATATTTGGATGTCTGTTTTGAAACAGCGATACTACCACAGAAAATCTTCTCTCTCCACGGTTAAGTGGTTCATTCTTGCAAAATTTCTTTTATATTGCAAGTAGCATCAGCACAGATTTTATTTGGCAGCCATATGTACTAAATGTGCCTAGGTAAAATTCTGAGGGATCAG